TAAAATGGAGGCGCCCCCGTGGCGTGTGCGCGGAGAGACCCCGGTGCGGCAAGGCCGGGCGTACCGGACGCGCGAGGAGGAGAGCGAGCGTGACGGTACCGTTCCACGTACAGCTTTACTTTGGTCCGCTTCTACGCGTTACGTCGCCAAAGTCTTGATCGATGCTAAAGAATTTGATTCTCCTGCGCTTTTGGTATCCTCCTCCTCTCTTCGTGCTACTCGCCACCCCAGATTTGGGTCCTGCTTTAAAAAACGAACACCAACACCCCACCCCACAAAAAAAACAAAACCAAAAAAACAAACAAAAAAACAACCCCAACCCAAACAAACAAGCAAAACAACAAAAAGACCACTCAAACCCCAACCAACCCAGCTTACAACTGCAACCCATCGGGCGGCTTTATTTATCCACTTCTGCAGGCCTACTCCCTCACTTCACTTCCCTGAGCACAGCTAGACCAAATACAGGCTGCTGAAGCATTAGAGTTACCTGGAAGGCAAAATTACTGCTTTCTGCAAGGCTGAAAAGAGCCTGTTCTGGCAAAAGCAAGCACCCTCCTTTAAATAAATAAAACAATAAATGCAGCCAACTCCCTCCAACTCTTAAGAGGGTGAAAGCATACAAGTGCCTTTCCAGTTCCATCATTTCTCCTCCTACTGGCTCTTTGGAACCTGTCTCTATGTCTAAAGCCAGGAAATACAAGACAGCATTTGCTTTATTATTAAATAAAACGTTGGTTCATGCACGCGTGGGGCATGACAGGGAACACGGCATCCGACACAGGGCGAGAAAGACAACCATCTTTTCACATCTAAGCCTGAATTAGAACTACAAACCTGCCAGTCCCATTGGAGCTGTTTAAGCTTAAAGATTAATAAAACCTCTGATGTTCACTGGAGAGCTGTTACACCAGTATTTATTCCTATACTGGAGGTCATGCTCCACAGAACATCGATCATAAGCGGCTGCTGAACAACGCATTCAGTTTACGCAGAATATAAAAATACCAGTTGCCTTACTGTCTGTTAACAGTTGCCCCTGCAAGGTAAGATACACAAAGCTACCTCGAAGTTTCATGACTAAACACAACTGCGTTCATATTTTAAAAACAACTTAAAGAATGCAGATAAACACGTATCTTGGATTTACCAAATTCTATTGTATCATATTAAGGACTAAATTCTAAAGAAAGAAAAATCCTGGGGCAAGAATGATATAACCTAGGTTGGTTTTGGACTTCATATAGAAGCTTTAAGGAAAGAAAAAAAAAATTATTTCTCTATACATAGAGAACATTCTAGGTGCCAAAATGATGTGATGACAAATAGACCTTTTGGCACATTGAAAAAAAAAATTATTTCTCTATACATAGAGAACATTCTAGATGCCAAAATGATGTGATGACAAATAGACCTTTTGGCACATAATGTCAGCGACATTGCTGGAGAAGTGGTTCTCGCTGACGGCCGGTAGGCAGCATGTAAGGCTCCCCATTATTCCACTCCATTTGTACAGCCAGTTGAGGCATCAGTAACTGTGATTATGCAGCAGCACTGGCTCCCCCCTCACCACCACCCCTCCATCCCACCCCCTTCCATATCCTACCTGTTCAATCTGCTGGAAAACAAATTCACAAGCTTGCTGTTTCAGTTAAAATGAGCCAGGTTAGGATAAAGCCAATACTCTAACGTATCTCCTATTGAGCAGTGAGATCAGGAATCACTAACTCCTACTAAGGGCAAGAAAGGGAACCGGCAGAGCAGAGGGAGGACACCTGCAGTGGAGAGTGGGGAAGGAGCCGAGATCACCAAGCGCCCGGTGCTGGACGGAAGGCAGCGATGGTGGGGCTTCTGCCAGCGCAGCTCCGGGGAAAAGCGAGGCAAGAGCTGAGAGGCGCTACGCGTTCTCCTAGTTGATACATGGCCAACCAAGAATTTACACGTGCTTCCTGGAGACATTTTCCTCCTATCTTCTATGCAAGAACTATTCCCTGTCAACAACGGCCACCTCAAACATTTCAAAAATAGGAGATGTACTGCAGTAATCAGAAACTCGTGAGGTTTAATCAATGAGAAGTCTAACATTAAAGCACTTAAAAGTTTAAATACGGAAGAACAACAGAGATGTAGCAAAAAGGTCTGGAATGTAAGAATCCTGCACCTCAAGCTTTTCACGCATAAAGAAAACAGAACAAGTGTTTTGTTTGTTTTTCTATTTTATAAAGAAAACACACAAAAACCCTTAGGCCCAAGAGTTCACCTGCATTTCATATTCTTAAGTTTACAGTATAGAAGTCACATTAATGATGATAGTACTACCTGTCAGCATAAACCCTCTCTTCACCAGCACCAATATGCTTTTTTTTAACTGGCAAATAAGCTTCTTCACTGGTAACTGGTTCTAGTTGCACGTTATCAATAATGGAAGTACAGAACATTTAACCTCTGTACTAATACAAGTTGTAAAGTTATTAGCCAAGTGACCGTTCATTCCTTTTTTGATGCAATGCTAGCATCTGCCAGATTTCTATAGTGTACAATATTATTTATAAGCCTGTTACTATTGTATATGATTTCATACAGCATTAGAGATGTTTGAAATCTGTTCTTGAATGTTGTATGACCTAGGTAGTATTCCATTGCAGCACCCATAACAATAATACTCAACATACTGCTATTCACCTGTTGCGCAGTGTTTTAACATTTTTTTTTTTTTAACTCGTTATATGTAATAAAATACCGGTAAAGACAAAAAATTGCCCCTATAATGAGGCACATTTTGGCATCTGTGCTAAATGCTGCTACATGGGCAGGCAAGTGCAAGTCAAAATATGAAAAGGAGTAAGTCATCATCTAATCACATTCATAACTTTTTCATAGAAAAATATAAATATATTCCCTGAAATGTAGGACAAAGAAAAGCCAGCATCCATCATGAGTTCTAGTGCTATTACCATTAAAAAAAAAAAAAAAAGTGGGCTGGCTTTTCCTTTTAAGGTTACGTTTCGCAATCTGTATCATCTAAACCTCTGTCATCGTCGTCGTCGTCACAATCGTCGTATCTCACAGTCCGTCTACCGCCGTTCCGAGTTCTTATCTTAGAACGCCGATTAGCTCTTCTATATTTGGTGTAATCCAAATCTTCAGAGTCATTTTCTTGGTTAGGTTTCCAACGTTTCCTTCGCTGGGGTCTTCTGGAAGGCTTAGAATTGGTAGTTTCTTTTCTAACGATTTCCAATTTCCGTTTCCTCTTTCTTGTTTCTGTGGCATCACTATAGGTACTGTTATCAGTTCCAGAGTCGGTATCAGAAGAACAATTGAAACTGGCTTTTGAGCTTCCTGCAGTCCCAGGTGCTGCCAAATTCTCTGATGCTGAGCTTTTCTCATCTTTCTTCCCCCCTGTTTCAGGTTCTGCTGCTTCTTTGAAGTCATCCAGTAATTTTGATCTTTTGACAGAAGGTCTAGATTTTTTATTTGATACTTCTCTGATATTTTTAGTTTCATGTTTAGCTAAGTCAGAATCTATGTCCTCTTCAGAGTTGCTCGTATGATGGTTGTGGGCTGAAGTTGACTGACTAGAACTTCCCCAGTTTCTCCCATTTTCCATCTTGTGGTTTGTGGAATTCTCTGAACAGACGTATTTGAGATTTTTAAGAGCTACAGCACAGAATGTTTTATGTGTCTGCTTGTGGTTATCATCACTCTGCTTTGGAGTCACCTTTAGCTCTGCCTCAGACTCTGTTTTTTCATTCTCAGACTCACTAATATATTTTCTTTTAAGGGTAGATGATTCAGGGTAGGAAAGTTTTTTTCTGCTAGAAAGCTGTTCTTTCTCATTTTCAGACTTTAAGCAAGCATCTACCTCCGAGTTGCTGATCAGTTTCTTCCTGGACGCTGCAGACACGTTGCCATGAAGCTGCCTTCTGTTCTTTTTTACTGTGTAAACACTTTCCGAGCTTGATAATTCTTCCTTTGTATCGCTCATTATCTTAATCTTATTAGCTGCCAAAGTGGCACATCTGCGTGGATTTTTCTTCTCAGTCACATTACACAGCTTTATGTGTTTCTTGTAGTTAATGATACATGTCCTGCTCCTGAGCACTTTTGCACTTTGTCCAGTCTCCTCAGACGTTGATTCTACAAAATAAAGATTTGTAGGTTTTTTAATAACTTACATTCCTGACATAATTCGTGTATTAAGCACAAACACTACCATGTTTAATAACATACACAAAAAACATTTTCTTTTTTTTTTTTTTTAATTTCAACTATTACATGGAATTTACCTTAATCATTTACTAAAAATAAAGTCAGCCAGTCCCATGCATACTTTTAACTCTCAGGATTATGCTTTTGCTTTGAGATAATGGAAGGATTTGAAAGTAACATTCTTTAGTATCACTCTAGTAATTAGTTTAGAAATTACAAATTACCTAACTTAGCAAACAAATGCTTTCATATTACTAGCACTTCTATCGTTAGAAGCTGTAATTTTCTTACTAGAATGAACTTTCAAAATTAATTATTACACATTTGAGACCTTTTTATGCTAAAAAAGGTATTATTGTATTTTATGTAGACACACGCCCTGGATGGATTTCAATTTTAGAATTGTTTCACACAC